GCAAAATGATAACTCAAACTTCCCTTTATTATCATTTAAATACAATTTTATTGCACATTATTACATAATGACAAACAAAAAGAACGTAGAAATACACGAATCACCATATCCTTTTATTCCCCATCACAAAAAAATGTAAATAGTAAAATAAAACCCACACCACCATCAAACACAAGGGAATCATATCTCAACCTTGTAAAGAAAAAAAAAACAAGAGAAAAAGAAATCCAAAATTAGCAAAAGAGAAATCCAAAGACAAGAACCATGAAGGATGCGATTGCAGCAGTTGGTGTAAACAGCGAAGCACCCGAAGTTGGGCTGGGTGCAGGGGGGTCCACGGCAGCTGCCCTCCCAACAACAAAGGAAGCCATCACTGCAGAGATCATCACAATTGTGAAGATGCTCAGTTTCTTCTGGGATGCCTCCATTTTTATTATTATTATTTTTTTTTTGGGAGAGGATTGTGAAGAGTAGAGGGAAATAAAGGGAAGGGGTATATATTTATAGTAGGATGAATGTGAGTCCAAGATTAATTATCGGGGGGTTTGTTGAAAGTTTGAGTTAAATTTGGACAGAAAGTTGTGGGGGAGAGAGGAGCACGTGGTAGCTATGGGTGTGGACAGAGCGTTTGCCGGGCAAAGACTGTGTCATAGAGAGCTGGCGTGTGGGGTCTACTTTTACTTGCGTTACAACCGTCCAAGTACTTGGAAAAAAAAAAGAAGACTCAATCAGTTTGTTGAAGTTAAAAGATAGAATTTATCATATTCAAGTCAAGGTGGAGATTTGTGAGAGTGACTTGCATAAGTCGACAAATGCTGCTTTTTAACCTTGCGACACCTTAGACAATTTTTGCAACTCTAGCTCAGCCTTAGCTCCTCTGTTTCACCTATCAAGTCGTCTCCCTCATTTGCCTATGAAAAGGGTTGTGAAGCATGAGGAAATGACATCGGGACGGAAAGGAGTTTCAGAGAAGAGAGAGATAGAAAGAATTAATTTACATAGTGGTTCATTCTAGAGTTTTAAGGGTTCGTTCGGCAATCTATTAAAACGGGACTCATTTAGAAAGAACATTATGGCCGTGTTTTCTAATCAAAAGAGTCGACTGAACAAAACATCAGGAAGAGCGCGTCATGTTTTGTTGAGTTATAAGTTATAACCAGCGATGATAGAGTTGCCAAACTATCGTCATCATGATATTCATAAATTTTTTGTAAACTTTTTAACTTGAACCTTAAGAAACATTTGAACCCAGTGCTCTTTCCCTTTTCTTTTTTTTGATCAGGAAGTTGTAGAAGTCATGTCCTTGAAAAGTTTCCTGGTCAGAAATAAGAACCAGCGACGAGTTTGATGCCAAGGTTGATTTTCAAAGATCAACCCCAACTCCAACAGCTCATTGCTCTGCGTAGTCTTATGTCTAATTATTTCTCTCAAGTCTTTTCCCCTTCATTTTCCTACCTGTCCTGTTAAGCATCATTGATAATGAGCTGGCCAACAACAATAGAAATCAACATCCTAACAAACCCAAAAAAAATCTCGAAGACTCGGCCTTATTTTACTCATAAATTGTTTGTTACCATCACAACATAGAATTCTCATCTGCAGCTAATTGAGCTTCCCCAGTCCCTTGAAGCTTCACAATTGTACGACCCTTGATATTGACCACCGGATTATATATTGACTGCTGTTGCTGGAATCCCTCTCGTCCCCTACAATAAAGCCATTCACGTTACAAAGTTTTATAAAAATAATCCCTACAAACAAATGGAGGAAACCAATAGTCTCTGAACTGCAAATATGTACATTTAGAATCTGTTTCTTTAGCCTCTCAGACTTTCTTATATGAACATATTCGATACGGTCGACGAATCACAGTCTACGGTCTTCTCTAAAAAAAATATGAACATACTCGAATGGAACAAACTGAATTGGATCGTGCATTTCATAGTCGATTGATACAAACTTTTGATGTTTTGAAGGCAGATATAGTTTCATGCAACAAGATAAAAAATTAGTCAAAACTGTAACGCACTAAGAGCTTGCAGAAAAATTGATGAACAGACATTTTTTACCTTATCACCATCATGGATTTGTGCCAGAGGCTCCCTCCTCTGATTTGTCTTGCATCCACCCAATATGAGCATAGTTAAGGAGGCAGCAACTACTCCTACAGAGCTCAGTACTCCAATTCTCGGCCACTTCAGAGCATTTTGATTATATCCCTTCACACAATCATTTCCATTACTCTCCACACCCTCAACCCCCTCCACTTCCTCCATTTCTTCTCCCTGAAACTCTGTACTTTCTGAGAACTCGAGTTCCGATTTCTCCTCCTCAAACATCTTATTTTCCTCGAGCTCGACTTCTTTAGTCTTTAACTGAATTTGAGGCACTGCATCACCATCTTCCGTGATCTCTCTTATCTCTTTCAACAGCTCGTCGCTTTGATTCTCGTCTATTTGGGCTACATTTGCAGCTTGATGTTGATCGTGTTCATGAACAAGACTTGAATCCTCCTGAGTTGCTTGAGAGTCGAAGAGATTGTTATCAGAGAGATACTCCCAATCTTCAAACCCCATCTCTAATAATGAAGCAAAGTCTTTTTTTTTTTAGAACTGCAGAGAGTGGAAGGGATGTACATATATATTTCTGGTTCAGGCTAGAATTATTGATGTTTGATCAAAGAAAGCAGATTATCATTATATGAGCAGGTAAGTTCAGCTCATGAGATATTTCCAGGGAAATATAAAGCTAATCAGGGTGCCTTATTACAAATGAGGCAGCAATGATCAATATAAATGAAAAGCTAAAGGTTTTGTCCTCTTTAGCCTTTTTGCCGAATTATTTGAACCTTTTCTTGAATTATGAGCGCCATATACTAGCACACAGATGAACGCTTCACATTGACAAAACCATATTGCTGATCTTAGCAAATACAGAAAAACTAATTATTAATATGAACATAGTTTCTTGAACTGTTGCAATCATCGATCGTGGCAACTTTAAAGAATCTCCAATTTCTAGACAGAAAAGAGCTCACCCACAACTCTATTGTGCATCAAATTTTAATAATCTTACAAGCTTCCAGTCTCAAATAATTTCAGCAGTTTGGGGGACTTCTCTGTTCTTTCTCCTCAGTTGAGCTGTCAAGAGAAATACATGCGTCTAGGAAAAGCTTAATTTTCAACTATGTGACATAAGAGCCTTTTTCTTCATGGAAAAACAAAAGGACGTTGTGAGGAAGCAGCACTCTAAACCACCAGTGATCAGCCAACTACATTGACCTCCAGAAATAAGTTTAAGCTGGCAAGAAATTTGACGCCAAGGTTAACTATATTTGTGAAGTTTTCATCTGAGTCATTTTTCATAGGCAGTCCTAATAATTAGATAATCGCATCGATAAAAGAGCAAAGTTTGGAAAGTTTTGAGTCATCGTAGATAACACACTTTATTTTAACTAAACTGATTAAGATATGTAAGTAACACATCTGAACAAAACGACAAGCTTGCCAAAGAAAATCAATCAAATTCTCTCGCATGCGAGGTACTAAGCAAGAAATTCCTATTAACCGAGTAATTAATATCTCAGAAATGCAACATAGAAGATGGAACTATTGCTAATGTAATGATCTCCTACACGGAAGAAAAGTGCAACTTGAAAAATTCAGCCTGCAACAATCTGCAGTACCTAAAAACAGAACAGAAGATATATAAGAGATTTCAATAATTTCATTGCAGTTAATAAATGTAGAGCCATCACTTTAAAGAATGCAAATTCAATTTACTCTCTCCAACCAAGTAAAATAACATATTGACATTATCTTACAATTTAACTGCAATCCATAACAAAATCAGTAAGTCACAACAACACTGTTAAGAAGTAGTAAACGTTGAACATTAGACAATCCCCAATTGCAAACTAACCACTTTTAATATACAGAAATGTCAAGTGCACAAAAATTTACAACCATGATGGTTTTAGCTCACATGTGCCCAAGCCAAAATGAGAAGAATCAGTTCCCATGAGAACCATACATACATAACACGAGAAGATGGCAGGCTCTACTTGTAGAGGTGCGTCAAAACTCTCCATTACCTCAAGCAACTCTCTCTCTCCTCTCACCAGAATCTCAGCCCCAAAAGTCGTTACAGGTCCCTTGAAGAAGAGGACTCACCCAATGAGACAGAAGCCAGTGATGAAGCCCAGACTCGAGCATTCTTAGCACCTTTCTGGAAGTTCGTTTTATTGCATAGCCTGAGCTTGCTCCAAAGCTTCTTTAGATCGATTACATGGAGAACTCGTTCCAATAGCTGATTCCACTCGCCAAAGATCCCCAAGTTCGTATGTAATGCATATACGAAGAAGAAAGCTTTGATGCGAGAGATGATCACAGGGAAGAAGCTAAGGAATGCCTTCAAGCAGATAAAAGCTAAAGAAAATGCCAGATAGCGTTCTGACACTATGATTTCCCTAAGAGAATGATCCCGTAGATTGAAAGGCATCCTGCTTTCTGAGCTAGGGGGTTCCTCAACAGAAAGATAAGCAACAGGGTCGAAACCTGTATGAAAATAAATAAATAAATAAATGGCTTGAAGTTGCATAGAAGAGAGGGAGCTATAAGTCTATTCACAGAAAGCAAAGTTTCTTGTTAGGGTTAAAAAGTAGGATTTTAACTTGACACTGTTCGAAATCTGAAACCGCAGATATAAATTATACACACTTCATACAATGGATTGCCTCCTCGATTTAGTAGCTGGCAATGCATCGAGAATAGTCTTGAAAGTAAAAGATACTGCTACAAGCAAAAGGATATCTATTATTTCTGAACCATGATATTCTTAACAAAATCTTACATTAGCAACTTTTTGGAGATCTTTATGATGGGTGAATGCATCAATCGGTGGGAAAATAAAGGGCTTTCACCCTGTGGATTTAAATGATAGAATGAAAAAATATTTGAACTTCAAAGAAAGGACCGATCTGTGAAAAAATAAAGAAGTTCCACTATGTGGAATTCAAAGATGGAAGGAAACCAATATTTGAGCTTTGAAAGGCCTGCAATGGCACATATTATAATTATTCATACCAAAATAGCTTATTTATTTATTTGGATTGCAGAAGGCCCGCAAGCTCTTCCAATCAAAGGAGGAACGAAGACTGCTGTGAACAAAGTACATAAAAAACTGAAGATATAGATTAACAAAATATATTGCAATGCAAAGTTATATATTTATAAATTTATGTATGTGCTAGTACTAATTTCTTTACAGCTTTTTCATATATTAATTGAAACCAATAACCTTATAGGTTTAACTATGAAATCACTAAGCTTATTGGTGCGAGTTTCTAAATGCTAGAAATATATTATCATGCACAGAAACCACAAACAACAAATGAAATTGGCGGATCTTAAGTTACAAAATCATGCACTTAATCCTTTAAAATGAAGTACGTCAGCCTATATCTTAACATGCAAAAAGCCTAAAGTAAAAACAAACCTGTCGTTGCTTTGTAGAATTCCACCAGTGAATTGAGATTTTTTGGTCCATGATACTGCATTTTTGCTGTCCTGTTGGCTATCAATATAGACGGAAAGCTATGGATGCCATACCTTGAGAAAACACTGCGGACAATTTCATACTTGTGTCACTTTCAATCCAAATCCAAACGGATAAAAGGAATGTATCATACAACAACAAATGCAAGGGGTTTTTACTCATCGTGCCTGTACCTCGGCATGGCAGAAGATTCTTCAATAGTCAGGTGCCTTATTTGTGGGAACATGGAGCTGAGAGCATCAAATGTTGGTTGAATTTCCCTTGAAAACGGACACCAAGATGCATGAAATAAAATTGAATAGTAAGCATTTCCCTGAGCATGCCCCAACTCTCTGTCAAGTCTATCTCCGTTCACCTAACAAAAAGAAACAGAAATCTCAGATTTGTCATAGCAATGCTCAAGTAGCAAACTTACCATATAGGAAGATTTCCAAAAAAAATAGCATGCACTACAACACATACCAATACCCACACCAAAGCAACTCCATCCCATGTTGAATAAAAGGGAAGAAAAAGCAATAAGCATATGCACGCACATACACATGTGAAGACAAAATTTTTGAAATCCAGGAATTTGAAAATGGCGGCAGAAATGTGAAAGCCACCAATGTAAAATGAAGCTAAAATGACCAAAACCTTATTTTGAGTTTCTAACTATTTCTAACCAATCCTACCCAATACGGATAAAACCCAAAAGATGGTTACTTCTGGTTCAAAATTGATACAAGAATATGGTAAACCATTCTGAAGAAAGAGATAAACTATTAGTAAAAAGACAGGGTTTTAGTGACAGAGTAATCACGTCACAGAAGAAGCACCTGAGTGGCAACTTAAGCAAAAGAGGAGAAGAGGAAGTCGTACAAAAAAATTTCACTGTTAACTTTCTTCTTGAAACCTTGAAGATCATCTCACCAAGTAGAATCCTCAATATATAACAGCATCTTTTTGCTATAGATAATATACCTACCCCCCTCCCCTCGCTACTCATTCTACTATCATTTTCACTTCCCCTTCCCTCTTCCAATAGATTGTCTGGTTAACCTGAAGTGCATACTTCACATTTTAAACCCTTTGTTTTATGATGTTTCCACCAGATATGGCACTTATGTTGTGGACTTGTGCTCTCTTCAATAAGACTATAGATATCATACATGTCTGCCAAATTTAAGTAATTAGACTGTTATTAGACTTTAATCTTATATCCATTTTTATAGTTTAACGTATTATAGTCATTTATATAAGCCAAATGATGATGGTCTATGGATTTGAAATTACATGTTACAGCCTTTGAGATTCTAACTTAACAAAAGCTTATTTCATATGCACTAAAACATGCCAGAACTAAAACATGTTTATGCAAATGCATACAAAAACAATAAACCTGAACTGACCTTTAATATACAACTCTTGTCATAAAGTTCCCCAATAGCTCATACAACACCATGATTACCCATTTGGGTAGTTCTTGAGAACAAGATAATCAGAGCAACTATTCCATGCACACATTTTGCTCATATCTAAAACCTTTACACACTGCTTTCAAACTAAAATATCTAGTCATCGCTGTAGCTGCATATGCTATGCTGTAGTAAGGTTCTCGTACAAATCTTACTTATCAAATCATCAATACCAGCATCATCTTAAACCAGTCACTTCAACTAAGTAATGCTTTCATGTTGGAAATTAACCTTGAGAATAGGCTTTCACATAGGAAATTAATCCTGAGAATAGGTTTAACCAGTCTATAGAAACTGATTAAGTGCTAAGGTAAAGCTAAATAGTAGTGATAAGAGTGCCCAGTAGTTATACTACTCTTGTACTTCTACACATAGGGGCCTTTTCCAGAAAATTTCAAGGAGAACATTATGAATTACGACAAACCCTGCTTATTTGTGTCTAGCAGTATAAGAGTAGTACAACTCTTATAGAGATGGAATTCCAGAGCTAAATGCTTATCGTTTTCCAAAGCTAAATGCTCAAAGAGGTTTTTCATGGATAGAGATAGAATTCCATCCTCAAGCGTAGAAGCGAAGACAGATTCAGGGTAAGAGCTGACAAGATTAAAGAAATAGTCCAGGTAGAAGAAAAATGGGGTACCATATTCAGGCGAAGAACCAATACTTATTTTAAATAATTCGAAGAAATCTTTAAAAACATATTAAACGAGATCAGCATCCTGAATTCTCTACTAACTGCAGCAGCTCTTACACTGCACAGAACATGGTGAGAGAAAATAGGCTAACAGTTGAAAACATGAGAAAATGAATATGCAGCAAGCCTTTCCCGTCTCCAACTTCTCCTAATCTCCTGAAGATTTTTCCACCTATAGCTAACAGCCAATGATGTTCGATAAAAGATAGCAGGCGACGGTATATAGCTATTGTTAAGGCTTCAATTTCAGTATGATAACTTTGCAAGTAATAAGTCAAAACGCGAAGCTCTATGATATAGCAGAACCAATCATAACTCCGGATTCTAAAAGGGTACTTTCTATTAACTTAAAAGGTTCATACTTAACCCTCAAATGAAGTAAAGCAATTCACGCGGAAACGTCAAACATAGCATGCATGCGAAAATTAAAGCTCATATGCATGGATTTAATTGAGGGGGGGGAAAATCAAGGCACGCAATCATAATTTCAATGATAAACAAGTTGGTCTTCAACGGTAAACAAGCTAATCAAAACGACAAAAAGCTTGGGGCAAAAGCACGGTGCATCATCAAAAGTGTCTAAATTTTCACCAGTTACTGTGCGCCTCTCCAACAATTGCAATAGAACTGTTAATCATATTGCAAAGAAAAGGGGCAAATTTTTCTCGAAATCAACGGAACCTTAAACTCAAATCCCTAACTCCCAAAAAATCCAATCTATCCCAAGAATTACGCCCCAATCCACCTAAATGCACAAAAGATTCAACCTTTTATTATAAAATGCCATAAGCCCCTTTCCTCATTAAAAAAAAAACAGAAAATTGGGGAAAGTTACCTGCTCAGGCGAACACCGCTCGATCCAAATAGGGCACTGCGATTGGACGCCATGGACGAAGGAATCGACACCAGAACGAGGGCAACGAGACGAATCAGCGACCGATCCGTCAACAGATAAGAAAACGATAAATAAAATCGAGAGAAAACGAAGAAAAAAATCCATCCACAAGTTCAAAATTCCAAGAAGAAGGGGGAGGAGAGAAGGGGAAACTGCAGGAAATCTTTTGGCCTCTCTTGCGATTTCTCTCTCTCTCTCTCTTCCTGCTAATTTTTTTGGAGAGATTCTCTCTCTCTCTCTCTTCTTTTTCTTACTTTTTTATTTTATGGTTTTCAAAATGCAAATAAAAGGGCTCTCCGCTTTTCTAAGCGATATAACATGCGAAGGCGGTGACTTTATATATAATGCTTCACAGCGGTGAAATGATACCATGATATTTTCTTTATGTTACAGAGCTTAGATGCACAGGGCCCACTTGGATTTTTTTTCCCTGTGGTTTTTAATTAAACACCTGAAAAAGTATTTTATTTTGACGGTGGGGTCATAATGGCGAGAGGGGCACTATAGGCACACTATCAATCACACCATCAACCACACCTCCTCTCCTGCTACAGTACAGCGGACCCCATATAAATTTTTTTTAAATTTTTTATATGGGCTCACTGTACTGTAGCAGGAGAGGAGGTGTGGTTGATGGTGTGCCTGTATCATTTTCCTAATGGCAAATCTTACAATTTGGTCAAACATCGCATTTTGAGGGGCAGTGCTGTATTTTGCAACTGTAACTACTTATTTATCTAAAGTTGTAAATAATTACACCCTCTTATTTTCTTCAACTATTTAGGAAGTACTCTACATCACACTATGAAGAATCCGAATCTCAAATCTTCGGATTTATGATGATAAGTATATTATCATTACCGTATAATTTAAATTCCTTACATTTGGACAAGACACGTGAAAATTTGCTAGGAGGATGAAATCCAGTGTAGTTCGTGCAAGAACGAAGAGTGAATTTTTGAAAATTGCATAACAAACACAAAGCTGGTAAAAGTTATTCTTACATGACGAATTCCTATACTTAATAAAATTAGTCTTACAATTTATTTTTTTATTTTAAAGAAAAAATATCATTCAGGAGAACATGGCCGATAAATTCAAATAATTTTTTTTTCCAGTCTGTCGTGAAGCAGCTAGCCTGAGAAAGCTTAATTTGGAGAGAACGTATCATCATCATCGACAACAACAAATAAAAAAATAAAAAAAAATAAAAATCGCAGTTTGTTTTGGACCAGACTGCAAATGTTTGCTTGTTGTTCTGAAACACTTGGATATCAACCAGTTCAATGCCGTGGGTAGGTGGTATTTTATTTTTGCTGCTCTTGAATGAACTCAGAACCCTTGACGTTCGTGTACCTATAAATATCATATCCCTGGACATAATAAGCAAACAGCAGTAACAAGAGATTTTACTTATCCAAATATTGGACAGAAATATATTTGGTAGCTTGTCTATGACCAAAGCGAGCACGTCCAACCAAAATATTGGCCTTAATTGTAAAGTACGTACGTATGTTTCTTCCATAAGGGGGTTATTGGTTAGTGTAATTTTGGGGTAAGTGAGATAATTTTTGGGACTTTATTTTTTTGTGTTATTTATTAGGACAATGAGATTGATTTCACTTGGTGTTATTCATTGAGACAATGAGATTGAGACAATTACCTCTACTTTTTTTTTAAAGTTATCTCACTTCTATACAAACTTTTTGTCCCAACCTCCAAAAATTACCCAATTCATAACTTTGGGATAATCATGAGGAAAATGAGATAATTTTGAAGAACTAATTTATTAAATATCTAATATGTGTTAATTGTATTATAATATATAATATATCTTAATTATATTATATTATAAAATTCTATTATTAAGTAAGATAACAAAATATTATATAATATTATCTAATATAACATTATTACATACCATTATTTCATATTGGTTAATAATATTTCATATATTATAATATTAGTATTATATTATTATGATATTACTTTATATTATTTCATATATGTTTTACTAGTTAGAATAAAAATATTATTGTAGTATTTTGTGATATAAAATATTGTATTATAATATAGTATTTTATATATTTATAATAACATATTAATTATATTATAATATAATTTATTATATAATAATTTACTATTTTCTATTATACTTTATTATATTAATTAATAGTCTTAAATATATTGTTAATATTATGGTAGTTACAATATTAAATAATATTTTATTACTATAATAAAAATTATAATAAACTACTATATATTAAAGTACGATAATATATATAATAAACTACTATATATTAAAGTATGATAATATATATCATATTAACATAATATAATATATTATTTAACAATATTTTCTAATTAATAATATTAAATATATTAATAGTACATTACGTTCATTATAAATATTATACTTTAATATGGAGTTATGTCATCAATTATTCTATATAAATTATAGTAATTATCTTAAAATAAAATAATTATATTTTTAGTAACAATATAATATTTTTAATAATATTAAATTAAATTAAATTAAATATTATAATATTTGATTAAATATTATAATATTGAAATATATTGTTTGTATATATATCAATTATTATATAATATATAATATTATTATAATATATTATATTATATTAATTAATAACTTTAAATAGAGTTATAATTAATTAGTAATTATAATATAATATAATATATTTTTGTATAAAGTAAAATAATGTATTATATTACAATATCATACCAAATAATATACTAAACCAATTAGGTAAATTAATTTACACTCAATTGATATATAAATATTATACTTTAATAAGGTGTCACATTATCAATTATCCCATGAATTATCAAATTAAAGTTTCAAATTGTCTCATTATCCTAAATTGTCTCACTTTACACCACTCAAAATATCCCAAAAGGATAAAATTGTTCCATTAAAATAATTCTCCCACTTAGGCACTGTTTGGCAACAAAAAAAGTATCTTATCTAAGAGCTTATGTCTTATTGACCTGGTCAATAAGCTAGTAGAGTTGTTTGGTGACCAAAAATAGAAGGAGATTATTTTGAAGATTGTGTCTTTTGCAAGTAGCTTTTGGAAAGCTACCTCAAGTAGCATTTGTCTTTGGGAAGGAGCTGCTAATTTTTTTCTTCCGATTTTGCCCCTAATAATTTTAATTTTATATCAATAATATTGCATGTCTTTTTTAGTTATTTAACAAATTTAAGCTAGTTGTACAACTACTTTTGCCAAATAGTTCTAGTCAATCAGCTAGCTACACAGCTAACAGCTTTCAGCTACAATTTCACAGCTTTCAGCTAGCTTAACAGCTTTCAGCTATAATCTCGTAGCTTTCAGCTAGTTTTACCAAACAGAGCCGTAGTCTCAACTTGTCCCAACCAATAACCCCCTATAAGAGAATAAACAAACATAGATTTCCCTAGTCTAAGTATCACCGCTTATATAAGCTAAAAGTTTGCTTAGTTGAATATCGCAACCATTGATTTAAAATTCACAACCTTCTCGTAAAGTCTCTGGATTTACTAGAGATCTTTTGCATTCATTTCAAATTCGACATGAGCCGGATGCATGTTTTCCCATGCCTCTTTTATATATTCAACAGCATAAAAACTTTAAAGTTACATCGAGAGTTGAGAATCAAACAAGAAGATCCAAACGATTTCGTCCTCGGAGAATTTTTTGAAATAGGTCAGTTTTAGTTAATATTTAGCAAAACCAAGCATTTTGCTAAATATTTAGCAAAACAGATACTTTTTTTGGCCAGCTCACCAAGACGGGTCAAAAAGAGGTCGGTTTTGCTGAATTTGGGTTTTAAAACAAACAGAGACTAGTAGTCTCATGTGTTTAGTGGCTGCTATTCGGCTGAACTAAACTCATAAAACCCACGGGACTACTAGTCCCGTGGGTTTTCTCTTCACAAATATAAAACCGGCCATCAAATTTCCAGTCCGACAAATAGAATTGCACCCTCAGGTCAACCCCCCTCCCCAACCTCAGGCGATCCCTCTCCCACTCCTGTGGTGATTCCCCCATCATCGTCTCCGGTGGGGCCATAATATCGTCCTTTGACCTCTTATCCTCCTACATCTCCGCTCTCCTCTCCCACTTCCAGGCCTACTACCACGCTCTCGACCTCGCCGCCCGCCACGACG